TCTCTCGTTTTTCGCTTTTGTGAATTTTAAATGTATGTCGTTTTCCACTATGTAAAAATAATCTTATTTCTGATGATGACAGAAGATTCTGTCGAAATATCAAAATAAATTTCACTGCGATTAGTTGATCATGATATTTACAGCAGCTTTATATTTCATTTTTCAATTATTCTCTAATTCAACTGCTTTACCAAATCAATTCTCACGTTGTGATGTTTGATTGTATTAGTGAAATTTTCTCTCATCTTTGTCCTTCTCCATCTACGTCTGCAACATCTTTTTTCCATTCAAAATTAAAACAGCGATGTTTGGCTTCAGAATCGAAGAACAAAACAAATGCAATAAATCTGCAATTTTTCTGCTACGTATTCAATACAGGAATGTTTATTGATTTTGTCTTCCTTTTAAAAACAATACACTCTTTTTATCAAAATGTACATTGACAACAAAATTTACAGTACGACAAATGACTAATCTTTTATAAAAAAAAATGTGTTTTTTTTCCGCACATAAAAAGAACAAAAAATCCACATTGTCATTCAACACAAGGTTTTTTCCCATTTTCTTGCTATAAAAAAAATGACTTTTTCAATCTCTTTGAACTCATTGCCAGTTTTTGATTCGTACATCATCAAAAAGAGCTTATTCAGTTAAAAATACATTTCAAGTAAGTATAATAAGTATTCGGTCAAAAGTGGTACAAGTCTATGCATTACACTCACAAGGCCATATTCGAGAACTTGCCTGTTGTTTCATGCACAGATGTTGATCTGAAACTAAATTACTAAAAGTTACGTTATTTTAGTTAAAGTTATTTTTTCCAAAAATCTCAACTTTGACCTCGATTTTCTTTCAAACTACGCGTCACAGTTCATTAAAAGATTTTTCCGAAGGCATCTTACCTAGTACTACTAATGCTCCAGCTTTCAAAATTCTCATATTTCAACTTTATGATATCTTAAAAATCGTTTTTGAAGAAAACCTCTAGAAAATCAGATATTTAAAATTTTTTTGTAAAGGTCAAAAACATACAGTAAATATTCTTCTTTCGAATAAGACATCTGCCAGCTTTATACGATCTTTCCTTATGAAAGCAGAGAGATCTCACAAGTTTACAGTTGGGATCTTGTAACAGCATATAAACAACTTATCAAGCTCTATCAAACGGTTCATTCAGATTTTCAAAAAGTTGTTTCGTTAAATTACAAGCTAACGCTTTCCAGGTCCATTTTCGATAAAACTTGACTTTCCGATCAATTTTCGGTCACGTTTTGCACAGTTTTTTTCGAAGTTGAACATAGACTCCTACACAACTTGACACGGGCTACAAAACTAGCACTGTGAAGTTTTGCCGGCTTTTTGATTATGTGAATCTAGGAGGAGCTACGTGAAAAATACCCTATGCCCACAATGAATTTTTTATCGTTGTCACATTTTAGTGGCAACGAAGCAATCTGTACCCAAAATCAATATACCAAAAATGGAAGATATTCGAGAATTAAACGGTATACCGCAGACAAATGATCGAACAAACAAGCAAAATGGTGATCAGCCGCGCCCGACAAATTTGGGACCGTTTGATGATCTTTATAATCTAGGTGCTTATAATGCTGTTGTTCCACCGCCATTGTCGTCTTCTTCAATTACAGGACCATCGTCTGAACGGATTACTCGAATACTTGTATTTTCTTGTAAAGATGTGTTTGTTGTTTGTTCCTGATGATTTTGTTGAATACTGAATGCAATTTCACGTATTCGAGTATGTTTTTCTTGAAATTCTTCATCGCTTTCTTCACTCTTTTTCTTCAATAATCTTAATAATGTCTCAGATTCTTTTTGACTGTAAAATTCATATGTTACCAACAGTTTTGGTTTATCAACATCAATTGGTCGTAATTCTGTTGTAATTTGTGTACATCTTTTGATATTATTTGGCAATAATTCAAAGCCAAGTAAAGCATTAATAAATGTTGATTTACCACATTTTTCTAAGCCAGCAATACATATGACATTCGACTTTTTCTCATTTTTCTCTTTTAGTTTTAATAAGAAATCTTTTGCATCGTTCAAATATGTTAATGCACCCTGGTTATCCAATGAAATATCACC